GGCCGAGGAGCCATCGCCCGCCTCCGTCTTCTCCTCCGGCCGCCCCGACGGGGGCTTCTCCAGCAGCTTGGTGCCGGGTTTGAAGCAGACACCCCCGGCTTTGGTGCGGACGAAATACTCGGTGGTGTCCTCGGGGAGCACGAAGTCCACGCGGTGGAGTTCCTCGGCGGCCTTGCTGGGGGACAGCGGCTGGAGCAGGGGCGAGTGGGAATAGAGTGGGGTCCGCAGCAGGTCGGGGCTCCCCGGCTCTGGGCTGGCCTGGGGCGTGACGGGGGCATTGTTCCAGAAGAAGCTGGACAGGAGGTTAGGGCTGAGGGAGGCCAGTTCTCTGGGGAAGGTGACGTAGGACAGGGTCTTAAAGAAGTGCAGGAAGGAGATGAGGCACAGGCCGGCCATACAGAACATGAGGAAGAGCTTGTAGCGTCTCATCTTCATCCTGCAGGGAGGAGGGAGAGCAGACAGGTCAGGGGTCTGCATTCATTCCTGGGGCAGGGGGACCTGAGGCCCTTCTAGGAGCCGGACATGACCAGGCCTTTGCTGCCACCGTGTGTGTGAATGTCCTGGCCAGTAGCTGGGGACCCGACATGCAATCACCTCCTGACCCCCCAGGCATCAAGCCTGCTGGTCCCCCTTGCTGTACCCAGTTCCCCTGGCGTCCGCAGCACCACAGAAACTGCCCTCCTGGCTCAGGACCTCCCTCTGCTCCCACAGCGCTTCCCCCGAGACCACCAGGTCACCCACATCCTGCCTCTGCGGCCGCACCTGCCACCCGGCCCACCCCACCCCACCCCAACTGCACCAGCTGCATCGCTCCAGGAACAAAGTGCATCCTGGGAAAAGCCCAACCCTGCAGTGCAGTCTCCCCAGGGGGCTTACGAGCCCCAAAGGAGAGGGGAGCAGGCTGCAGACTCGGGGGCCCTGCTTTGCGCCGCCCAGGGCAATGTTCTTGTTTGTTTGTTCGATCGTTCTTTCTACCTGTCCTACCTTTTCTTGTGGAATAGTGACAAGCCTTTTGAATGCCTTTTCACTGAAAAAACTCACAGGTCTCAAGGGATGACATTTAGTTCTAACATATTTAAAGAATAAAATCAAGTAAAAGTTCCCCTCATTACCCCGTGCCTCCCACTAGACTGATCTCCAGGCATAAATCATCTCAGCTATTAGAGGTGTATCGCTGGCTTTAAGATGCAATTTTTCTGTTCTTGGTTTAATAGTTTTCTTAAATATTGGACACTAAGTCTAATCAAATTTTCCCCCCTCAATCAATAATAAAGAGATTTTCAGATCAGTAGAAATAAAGTGACCATTTCCTTTTAAATCCTACATAATATTCCATGGTTCTTTGGAATGAATCACTCTATTCATGAGTGATTCATGAATATAACCATTCTCTATTCACACAGTCTAATTTATCAATTCGTTATGGCTGTGGAGGGCCTCAGAAAAATATTTTCTACAATGTAAGTAGCCTTCCTATTTTAGATTATTTGTAGTTTATCAGAAAAGTTGCAAAGACAGTACAGAGAATCCCCTTACACTCCTCCCGTCTCCCCAGGGCTGGCATCTTACACCACCACACACACTTGTCACAACGAGGAGACGGAGATGGAAACGGCACGTTGCTATGAACTAAACTCCACGCTCCATCTGGTGTACATCTCCGGAATGAGCCTGTGCAGCAGCGAGCGCTGACGATGACAATCCGGCTCATTTCTTTTTAAAATGTTTTTAAAGAAAACATTTGAATTTTAGAGAAAGAGGAAGGAAGAGGGATAGAGAGAAACATCGGTGAGAGAAACCTCAGTGATTGGCTGCCTCCTGCACACCGGCTGGGCCAATCTGGCTCCTTCTGCCCTTGAGCCCAGGGCGGTAGGTTATACCCATTTCACTGAGTGGGACCAGCGACCTGCTTGGGGTGACCCACCACGTCACGGGAGGGGCTGGGAAAGAAACCTGGCCTTTGGCATCCGGTGTCTTCGTTTCTCCTCCCATAGATCCCGGTGACAGGCAGTCCTTACACCTAGAGCGTTCTTTCTGCCGTGACACGGTTGGTTGGCTTGTCGCCTCATACACTGGAAGGCTGCAGGTTCAGTTCTCAGTCGGGGCACATGTCTAGGTTGTTGGTTTGATCCCAGGTAGGGATACGTGCAGGAGGCAACCAATCCATGTTTCTACCTCACATAGATGTTCCTCCCTCTCTCCCTCTCTCTCCCTCCCTCTCTCTCTCTCTCTTCCTCTCTCTCTAGAATCAATGGACATGTCCTTGGGTGAGGATAAAAAATTTTTTTTTCAAGTTCCTTCCTGTGGCTACTTCTTCTCTGGTTCTGAGTCATTTCAGTGTCCTCCTGTCATACCCCCCCTTTCACTTCCTAACTCGGAGGACAGCAGGGAACAGTGGAAAAATATGCACTTAGCTTTAGACTACTGTGATCTTATGCAAAGCTCTTACCACCCTGAGCCTCAGTTTCTACATCTGTGAAATGGATAGAGCTCTGGGTATGCTTGGGTGCTCAGGAAACGTTCGTCTCCCCCGCCCCCCAAATGATAAGAGCAAGTTTATTTAGCAAGTTCAAGAGGTAATAGAAGGGAGCCAGCTGGGCTGTGTGGGCTCAGGAAACAAGTGACAGAAGCAAAGGAAGGGCCCTGGGAGCTTGGGAGAGGGAAAGGCAGAGGTAACTCTGGGGGAAGGAGTGGGGGAAGGAAAGGGCACGTGTGCTCCCGAGAGGAAGGGTGCACCAAACTTCCGTTCCTAAAATGTTTTTATTGATTTTAAAGAGAGGAAGGGAGAAAGAAAGAAAAACAGTGATGTGAGAGAGAAACATCAGTTGCCTTCTGTACGCATCACGACCGGGGATCAAACCCGAAACCCAGGCATGTGTCCCGACTGGGAATGGGACTGGTGACCTTTCCATGCACGGGCAATGCTCAACCCACTGAGCCACACCAGCCAGGGCAAACGTTCGTCCTTTCAGTGCTCAAGGCTAGAAGGCTCCACGGCTCTGAGCTACATGGTCACAAGGCACAGAATCATGAATGTTTGATCTCGAACGAATTTTAAGGACCATCTCCCCCAATCCTTCCATTTTATAAAGGAGGGAAGCGAGGGCTCCGGGGACCTGCTCAAAGCTACAAAGCTGGGCGTGAGCCTGGGTGGCCTGAGTCCTGTGCTGCCCTCGGCGGCTCCTAGCAGGCCGTCAGGAACAGTCGAGTCGCCAACCCCTGGCCGAGCGGTACCTGTGCCGTCAGGTCCCAGAGGTCCCATCGTGTTCCGTTTAAACGCCGCCCTTCCCGGAGCCTGTCCACAGCGGCCAGCACAGCGGACTGCAGGCAGCAGGACCACGGGGGCAGGACCTCACCGCCGCTGAACGTCAGCTGTCCCAGGGCAGAGGAGGGCTGGTCGCCACTGGCCTTTGGGAAGGCGGGAGGAGGCCGCGCCTTGGCAGCATTTTGAAGTGGGTCTCCGGGCTCCACAGTGGATTCCAGCCCTGCTCTGGGGGAGTGCGAGCAGGCAGAGCAGCCAGCAGAATGCGTGCAGGGGCAGTGGGTGAGGCCCAATAAAGGCAGGCGGGGAGCTGTTGCCATGGCAGGGCCCGGGTCAAAGGCAACTGCAAACTGAGGTCAGCACAGCAGAGCCTCCAGAGTGGCCCACCTCAGGGGCTCAGGACCTGGCAAAGGAGCCCCAATGGCTCGAGCAGACTGGCCCCCTACGTGGGACCTGCCTCTGTAGGGCACACCCCAATCCCTGCCCTGGCTGCAGTGAACTGGGCTGGAGCTGTGGAGGGCAGGGCAGGGCGGGGCCAGGACTAAATCCCCTGGCAACAGCGAACAAAGGCCTTGGCAGGGAAGACACTGGGGGAGGCAAGTGACCACCCTGCTTTTCCCAAAGGGGGCACTTGGACCCCCGAGGTCACAGTGACCCACTCCCCTGGCCGGGCTGGCCTTTAGGACCTGGTGACCCTGGCCAGCGGTGCCTTCGAGGACAGACGCCAATGCCTGGGATCTGCCCCCGCTGGCTCCCTGGGGCCTTCGGAGGGAGGCCACTTGGGCTGCCAGGAAGCTCAGACGTGCACAGTGGTCGGCTCAGAGGAAGTCAGTGCCTCACAAACTGCATTTTCTGGGACACCTTCACTCACAGCTGCCTGTACTTTTAAAAAATATGTTTTTATTTGAGAGAGGAAGGGAGAGGCAGTGAGAGAGAGAAGCATTGATGTGAGAGAGAAACCTGTTGGCTGCCTCCTGTACATGCCCCAACCAGGGACTGAGCCCGCAGCCTGGGCATGTGCCCTGACCAGGGATCGAACCAGAACCTGTGGTGCACAGGACGATGCTCAACCAGCTGAGCCACACTGGTCAGGGCCGTATTTTTTAAACTCTTATTCTTCCTGGCCTGATTCCTTGTTATCTTATCTTCATGTGTTTGGATAAGCGTTTCAAATAAGTTTTTTAAAATTCTCACCCGAGGATATTTTTTCCATTGATTTTTAGAGAGAATGGAAGGGAGGGGGGAGAAGGGAAGAGAGAGAGAGAGAAACATTGATGTGAGAGAGACACAATGATTGGTTGCCTTCCGCACGCACCCTACTGGGGGCAGGGAACAAACCGGAAACCCAGGTATGTGCCCTTGACCAGGAGTTGAACTCAAGACCCTTTGGTGTGCGGGCTGATGCTCTAACCACTTACCAACACTGGCCATTGCTTCGACACATTTCTTGACTGAGAGGCAGATAAGTAGGAAATGGAATAAACAAATAAGCATTGGGAGCTAGGGTCCCACCAAGTCTCAACCACGCTGGAAGGTTACTGTAAGGGCTTTGTTTCCACAGATGGGGAAACTGAGGCTCAGAAAGCTGATGAGCCCTGGCCGGTTTGGCTCAGTGGATAGAGCGTCGGCCTGTGGACCAAAGGGTCCCGGGTTCGATTCCAGTCAAGGGCATGTACCTGGGTTGCGGGCATATCCCCAGTGGGGGGGGTATGCAGGAGGCAGCTGATCGATGTTCCTCTCTCATCGATGTTTCTAACTCTCTATCCCTCTCCCTTCCTCTCTGTAAAAAATCAATGAAATATATTTTAGAAAAAGAAAAGAAAAAAGAAAGCTGATGAGACTTTCCCCAAAGACACTAAGTAGATGCTCAAGACTTGAACATAAGTCACGTTCCCAAGCCGGTGCCTGTGTCCCTCCCAGCGCAGGTGGCCATGGAGCCAGCCTGGGCCCGGCCAGCAGCATTTCTGCGTCCATTGTAAAGCTTCACGGAGAAACATCAGGCGGAACCATAGAACTAACGGTCACTGGCACAGCCCAGCTGCTGTCCTGAGCACGTTCTACACACAACCTCACTGAATCCCAGCACGAAGCAGGTACCGCTGTCATCCCATTTCACAGATGAGGAGACTGAGGCCAGGGAGATGCTCTAACTTGCTCAGTGTCACACAATCCCT